CAGCATAGAAGAGACTCAGCTGATGAGGGGGAAGGTGATGCTTAGCTGTTATTCCTCCAGTTCAGCAATACATGGCCAGCTAATGGGAGTCTTAAGAAACTAGAGGGAATGCGCTGGTGATAGTTTAGGTGAAACAAAATAATTCTGAATATGGAATCTATACACAGTGAAATCTCTGCTTACTAAGTTCTGATTCTTGTAAATGTTAGAGGACACAGAAGTGTAACTAAAGTGTTCTCGTGGGGAGCTGTTCCGGTTGTGTGGAACTTCAGAGTTAAATCTCTGTTCTTCTGCAGTCACTCTTCAGAGACTGTTTCAATCACTTTGCTGCTATGGAGTACTCCATTGGAAATACTCTAAGACAAATTCAGGCCAAGCAACCTCTGCAGTGCAACTACCCCTGCCATTCTGTCTCCTCAGTAACAAAACCACTATGTCTTGCTACAAATCCTGATCTGTTAGGTACTACCAGATAGTAATTGCATAACTGATGATTAACTAAAATACAGGCTGTAGTCTGTAACTGACTTTTTGCAACCCTCAATCTTCCTTCTCTACTGCCTCTTGTCCTTCTGTCATTACCTTCCTGATAATCAGATGTCCCTAGAAAGTCAGGGTAGGGGCAGTGTCTTCAGTGCTGCAGCAGTTCCTTCAGGACTTGCATCTGATATGGCAATGATGCTTGGCTTGAAATAAAGTACTTTTGGAGCAGGTGGGAGGCCGTACTGGAGGTAAACCGTCCCCAGAGTGTGCCTTGGGAGATGTAGGTCCGACACATTAATCTGCCTGGGTGTCAAAGACTATCTTCACCATCTTGTAAAACCTGTCTTGTCTTTCCAAGGGCAAGCTTATATCTGAGGCTGTGCTCTAGATTCACAAGCACAAACTCTGACAACAGTGATCACAAACATCCCAATTTCAGCCAAAGTGAAGGAAGAGAAAATAGCCCAGGCTTCTTGTACTTACTCTATGGTGCTTGGATTCTAGCCAGTCAACACTTGCAGATAAGCAAGACTTGCTTGATGAGAATCCAGCCAAATGATGTGAACTTCACATGATGTGAACGTGTTTCAGAAGGAGGTAACTGTGCTAAAACAGCACTAAACTTGGGTTTCATCCAAAATGGTTATGTTTTCTAAGGCTGACTATGTTGGCTCATTCTCCTTAAATACAAGAAAACAGAATATATCTAGGGCTTTGCAAAGTAAGAAAACTGTAAAATAAGGTCAATGGTCAATAGTGTGTTATGGCAAAATATGAATGACTCTGCACAGTAGCCTAGCAGTAATGACTGCCTGGTTTGTCTGCATTCTCTAAACAAGTGGTTAACGCTTGAGATTTAGAGTTAACTGGCATCAAAGCAAAGACTTGGGTGGGAGGGGTAGGGGAGTTATTTTTTTGTTGTGTTTATTCTACTTTCCTATCCTTGCATTCTCCCCAGTGTAATGATGTCCTGGTTTAAAATAGTAATTTTTTAAAAAGTGCAAACACTTGTGGTCGCTTGAAGGGAAGAAACAAACACCTCAAGAGCTTGAGAAGTAACTGGTCAGCTAATATTAGAAATGCAAATATTCATAGTGGATGCGGAGCAAGAGCCTGTGACACTTAGTTCGGTAAGAACTGCAAATCTGGACAGGTTCCTGATTTTTTTTTCATGACCTGATTCCTTGGCAGCAGCACTGTCTTGTCAGTGATGACTTTCTTGGACTAATTGGATGAATTCAGTGCAACTCGGACCTCTTTTGTGTTTTTTGAAAGAACCTTCTTCCCTACTAGACTGAGGGATGAATGATGTCCATTTAGTGTGTTATCCAGCATACATAGCCCCATAGTGATCCACACAGTATTTATCTTCTGTGATGCTTTAGCCCATCAGTCACATAGGGCAAGAACTCTGTTGTTGGCCAGACTGGGATGAGGGGAAGATATTAAATCTGGTGTTGGAACAGAGAGAAGAAAGAATCAAGTAACAAAAGAAATAGCCATTAAAGGGCAGAAATGTTAGCTGGAAACAGTAATAATATGTGGGAAAATATTTCAGCTGTGAGCCACATTCTAATGTTAATTTGCAATATGAGAGCAGAAAGAATGATGAACTTGCAAGACCAGCAGTTAGTTCCCTTTTTCCTTGTGCTAGTGGCTTGGCTCCTGAGGGCAAACTTATGTTGTGCATATTCCAAGCCTCTGTGCTTGAGGATACATGAAAGGGGAAAACTTAATGGTGGCAGTAATTTCAAAACAATTTCTAATGCCTCATTTTCATTTTGCTTTCAAATACAAAATGTTAGCTTTTTAGGTGGCACTTGGAATGCTGTGGGTCTGTTGCTTAGCAGAAACAAAGCACAAATTGGCTTCACTTAATACAATTGAGTGTTACAATTGTAAAGTAACATTAGTTGTCAACTTGATAATCTCTAATGCTTTAATATCTTGCTTTTAAGGACGTGATTGTAGGACAGTTCTTGAATTTCGTTCATACAGCCAGTCTTCCAGGGCATGCTTTAAATGCTCTTTAAAGCATAAATTACAGTTCCTTTTGCATGGTCGCTTCTGTGTCTGGTTCTTGCCTGTGCTTATCATTCCTGCAGAGGCTTAGAGCTGTAGACGGTACATGAGTTCTACAGTGCACAAAGATACCAAATCATGATACTTGGTAAGACTGTCTTTATTAAAAATGAGCACAAGCACAAGACAACAAAAAACCCTAATGCTAGGTCACCTGATTTGTTTTGGAAGATAGGTTGTCCTACCACTCATTTGTGTGCGGGAGATAAAATCAGATAAAACAAACAGTTTTTTGATGAACAAGAGAAATATGTGGTTGCATATGCTATTTTCATAGTAAATCAAAATAACTGAAGCTTCTTGCTACTGTTGAAGAACAAGGTATTACATGAAAACAAAAGTTTTATTCTCCATCAGACTACATGACTTTCTCCTTTCAGAAAGATTTTGTAGGTTTGAGTCTGTCATTCTCAAACTGTGTCCTGGTTTAGTAATTCAGATGATGTGAATAGTATTGATGCTTCCAGCCTCTTTGCTCTTTTGTAACTGTGAAGAATGATCATCCATGCCAACCTCCAAGCACGTGGCAAGATCTTTTTTGTGTTGTGTGACCAATACTTAATTTACCTGTTTTGTCTTTTAGGCAGGAGTAAATCTAATATGGGTTGGACACCTCTTCACCTTGCTTGCTACTTCGGACATGGTGTTGTGGTAGAGGATTTGCTGAAGGTATATTTCTGCTTGCCTCAGTGTGTAAGGCATAAAACTCTTGTTATGCTAGAAGCAGCTAGTATTTATTTAGGTTTTTGTGATAGAAGAAAGGTGGCTTCGGAGAGAGGCAGAGCCACTCTGACAGTTTATCTGCATGTAACATTGCCATAACTTGATTGTTAAAACTGAAGAGTGAAATAGTTGTGGTATTAAGATCAGCCCAGTTTACAAGGACCCAAAATAGTGACACTGGGAATCTATACAGTAGTATACAGCTGTTACTCTGAACAGTGTTTACAATTACCAGTACTTGGCTAACTTTCTCATGGAGTGCGTGTGTTTGTGTAACAATCTAAATTTAGGAATTAGGCATACGGTATATAGGTATGCACTTGTGAAAGCTTCAGCCTTTTTCAGGCTCAGCAGATATCTGCATATAGTAAGCCAGCATCTGATACTACTAATGCAAATGCTTCAGGGGCCTGATCCAGATTACTGTAGTACATGAAGTATATAATTTGGGCGATTTCACATACTGAGTTATAGGAAAGGCTTTTTGTGTTTCAAATGCTGAGAAGTCTGTGTTATGTAATTGTATGTTGGGCATAGAAGTATGTCCAGAATTCTATGCAAAGTAACCTGTATGTGTTTCTTTCCAGGCACAGGCTAACATAGTTCAACTCATTATTTCTTTCTAATGTCTTTGAAATAACATATTGTGTGATGAACTTTGAAATTGATGAACCTCTCTTGTCAAAGTTGACCTGTTCGTATTTTCATAGCCACATCTGCACTTGCAGTTGTTTCTGACTGAGCTTATTTTCTTTCCCTGAGCTCGCAGGGTGGATTCAGCGAACCCTAACTGTGTTATACCCTATTCATACAAAGGCAGCTAATCTAAACTTGAATTTCATTCAGAATAAAGGCTACCAGCCATAGTCATGACTGTAAAGCAAGAAACAAAGTTGAGATTTCTTTGAAAAGATCTTCTCTAGCCTACAGACTTGCTCAGTAGATAATGCTGTTCTCAATCCAAGAAGGCTACTTAAAGCAAAAGGTAGTTTTATCACTTAATCCATCTGGCAACACTTCCAGAGTTGAAAGAGTATGTGTAACTTTGTCCTTTCTTCTTTGCTGATAGGGTTCTTGAAAGGGTATTATTTAAAGAATAAGTCGAGTAACAAAGGAGGCTGTTCACCTCTGAAAGCTAGGCATGTACAGGGGTGTCTGTGTACTTGTGCCTAGATTTTGTGCTCAAAGAACAACTGAATGAGGTATTATCAGAATCGGAGCTCTGGAACTAGAGTCGGGTTCATCAGTTAACTTTAGGCAGTCAGCAGTGACCTGGCGAAATTATGCGATTAAAACATATGTGACAAAGTGAAATATGTCCTGCCCTCATTCTGGCCCTTTGAGACGTTAGGTAAAGTGGTGTAGAGGAAATGCTTAAAGACAGAAGGATAGGATTTCTTGGTTTCCTGGAACAGTGCCTGTGCAGTGTGGCAAGTAGTCTTTCTTTCAGATAAAAGGTGGGATGGAGAAAGTGTTTGACAAGAGGAAGGGAGATTCAAGACAAAGATTGTAGAAGAGAAAAGGGAGAAGAAAGGTTAAATTTCAGATGGTACCATCTGAATGGTGACATGGAAGTTTCCACTTCAAGTGAAAGAACAGCAACAGGTGCCTACAGAGAGCACCACTTGTTAAATCAGGACCACCAGGAGCTGTGGTGCTACTATGTGTACATCTACAACACCGACCTTCCCCCTCCAAAAAAGAAACCCAAACGCCCAAAAAACCCAACCAACAACACCCCCATCCCCTGTGTTAAATTTATTTTCTGTATATCTTCTTCTTAAAGATGAGAGAGATGCCTGGAAAAAATGCAGGCTTTTCCTTTTTGAAGCACCTCACAGAATCATGGTTATGGATCTTACATACATACTTTATCTGTATTTCCAGAATGGCTGTATTACAGTTCTGATCTGATTTGCGATGAAGTCTACATTAGTGTCCTGTCCTCCTCTTCCCCCCAGTCAGAGGGCATAGCTATGTAGTTCTTGTTACACTCAGATGCCTTTTGCTCTTGTTTAGGCTGGTGCAGATGTGAACGTGCTGAATGACATGGGGGACACTCCACTCCATCGTGCAGCTTTCACAGGCCGTAAGGTAAAGTAGGTCAGCTTTTTTTAAGCATCGATCATAGAATTATTAAATACCAGCAATAAGATCACTTCAAAAAGATGTTTTTGCAGTCTAAAAATGACTTGCCGTCTGGACTAGGCACATTGCCTAGCTGGTATAACTGTCCAAAACAAAAACACGGTACAAATATCTTTTCTTGAAGACAGGAGAAGATTGGTCCGTGTTTTAAATTGGTGTACTTTGTCATATCTTTTTTAGCTTTTTTTGTCGGTGAAGATTTTGCTGGCAGAGAGAGAAAGAAATAGTAGTTGGCTTCCACTGTTCATCATTAGTTGTGTAACTAACTGATGTTGCTTCTGTTCTGCTGTGTGTCAGAGATGTGCTGAAGCTTAGCACTACCTCTAGCTGCAGGTGCTAATTACTGTGTGGAAGCCAGTGTAAAGATCTCTCACCTACTACTAAAGTACAACGGATTAATTTGTGTTTGTGCCTGGTATGTTTGTCACAGTAAAAGGAGTAGAGATTGATCCTCCCAACTAACTGCATATTTCTATAGAGAGACACCATGTTGTTTTAATCTTAGTGGCTTCTGGAGGCGGGGGAAAACCTAAAAATTAGGAAACATTGGTCTGTTTGGTGTCTGGAAGTGCTGTTTTTTCCTACAGAACTAGAACTAAAGAGCTTTCTATAGGCCTGTAATGTGATACTAGTTTGATTGTTCCCTGTATGCTGCCATCATTCCCAGACTAGTACTACCTCTGTGGATATGAAAGAGTGACTGCTTAGTCTTTTGTCAAAAGAGCCAGTCGTGCTTTTTCTTATCTGTCAAATTCAGCATTCACACCAGGTACGCTAGCTTTTAAATCAGAGTGGGTGTGTTCGGCTATAACTAATCTCCTGTTAGTTCCTTCAGCCTGACTGATGTGAGAGAGAAGGCTGCAGTTAGTCCCACTCTTGAATCTCTCTAAAACATCCCTTCCTGTTTTTGTAAGTCAGTGGTGGTGAGAACCCTTTACACAGCTCATCTTACAGGATGTCAGTAGCTGGAAAGCCTGATTGCGGCCTTGCCATAACACAGATAGATAAGCAGTGTTTTTCAAATTATTTTCCAGGAGGTGGTGATGTTACTCTTGCAGCATAATGCTGATACTTCTATTGTTAATGGTAGTGGAGAGACCGCAAAAGAAGTTACTCATGATAAAGACATAAGGAATATGTTGGAAGGTAATTTTACTAGGTCATATCTGTTTTGTTTTTTTCAACACTTGTACATTCTAAAAGCTGATTTTTTTCTCCTTCAGGCTACAGAAGCTGAATTGAATTTTCTCTTTAAATTTGGCCTTCAGAAAGAAAAAAAGTTAAAGTTTTTGGTTCTCGTCTGCAGTACTGACAGGGTTGGTTTGGTTTTTTTTTTCACAATATGTCTGCAAGTGTCTTGGAGAGTTAAGTATCATGAAAGCCAATAGCATTATTCAAGTAACTATGTCAGTCCTGCTGGGGTAATCCTTGCTACGGCTCTGGGTGGTACATGGCAGTCAAAGCCTTAGCTCACTGGAAAAGGAAAGACTCGAGTCAAAAATAGTGAGTGACTTTGCGTCAACAAAATCATTAAAGAGCAAAATTCCGAACAGTTTGCAAAGGTGACCCAGTTTTGGATGAAATTTAGGACTTGCTATTGCAGTCTCAAAAGGAGAAAACATAAAAACTCTTTGCCTTGTTTCCTCCATTGCCTCACAGTTGCTGAAAGTGAGGGAGATGGTGTCCAAATACTAATATACAGGCTCACTGCTCATAGGTTTGGAGAGTTCTAGAACTGTGTTGCTTCCTGGTGTTATGCTGTGACACCCCTAGATACTGCTATAGCTCTGTGTCCAATACCACAGACTGTATATGTGAAGTGATCTCTCTTCTGCATGTAAGTGTACAAGTAACGGGCTCTTCCGCTGCTCATTTGCTGGACTATTAGAGAAGAATAAAATTTCTGTAGAATGATAGGAATAGTAGAAAAGAAACTGAAAAGAACACAGGGAAGATCTGATGGGGGTGTCACGTAGTTCCTCAGTTTTCCTTTTTAGTATGGAGTGGGGTTGGGTTGTAGGTGTTTAAAAAATAATATTAACAATATATATGTGCATGTGTGTACACACTCATGTATCTTGTCAAATATTGCATGTTTTGAACATTTTTTTTTTTCTCTGACACAGACTTTTCTGAGTAACTATTCCTTTTATACCTGTCCCAAATAAATAACGCTGGAAACTCTTGTTTCTCCAGGCTTGTTTTGATATAGTTTCTTGACTGCTGTACTTTATACGTACCTACTACTTTGTTGAGACTGACCTTAAATTTGTTTGTTTTTTTTTAAATAGCAGTGGAAAGGACACAAGAAAGGAAACTGGAAGAAGAACTCTTAGGAGCAGCGAGAGAGGGGGAAACAGGGAAACTCACTGCCTTGGTAAGAATTCAAGTGCTTGTAATACTTCTGTGTTGAGTGGTTCAAGTCATAATGCTAATTTAACAACATGTGACGTTAGGCCTTGCATTTCAAAGTGCTGTGACTTCAGAATATTTGTACTGTGCACTGTGTTATGTTGGTAAGGTGCTGAACCCTCAATGGTTTTCAGCTTCTTTCATGTTTCTAAATACTCTTCGGTCAGGTGTGAATAGCAGCGTAATGGTTCCAGACCTACTGATGTAAGCTTGTTAACGTTTTTGCGGATACCTTAATGTGATGGGTGCCTAGGCTTTCACCACAGTATGGCCTATTTTAAATCTTGAAAGTAAGCTTTTGTTGTTGGCATATGTTGCAGCTGAAGTCTCTGTGGTTTTTAATGAACAGTCATCTGCACAGAACACTTTCATGCTGAGCAGGAATTGAAAACTGTATGTGTGCATACATGCACACTTGTAGTAATTCAAGCTGAGCAATAATACCGTGGTGTGATAAGGCTATTGGAGAAGCAAATCACAGAAGAATTGAGACTGAAGGGTGCCTCTGGGGATGATCTAGTCCGACTCCTATTGCAGAGCAGAATCAGCTAGACCAGGTTGCCCAGGACCATATCCAATTGGGTTTTGAAGCAGGGTCTCAATGCTTGAACTCAAGCTTTTGAGAGTCCTAAAGAGTTTCCTTGGAAGTAAGACATAGAGCAGTATGGAACACTTTCTACCTAGTTAGCACCTTTAGGTAATACCTTTTAAGGCATTAAAGCAGTCTGAATACTTCTACTTACTTCTAAAGAAAAGCTCACAAATGCGAGATTTCCGTATTGAGGAATTTGACATTCTTTACTGCCTAGAAGCCAGAGTGAACACTACTTCAAAATTTGTTATTTCCATCCTCTAAATTGATTTCTTCTAGTCTGAAGAGCCCCTGTCTTTCTAACTCCTTGGATGGAAGCAGTTTTTAAATCTTTGGTCATCCTTGTTATTATCATTTGTAGTTTTTGTACTATCCTGTTTGAAATGGAGAGAGAACCAGAGCTGTACACAGTGCTGGAGATGTGGAAGAATACAGCATTAATACACTGGCATGGCTGTATTGTAATTAATACACTGGCATAAGTGACCTGTCTTGAATCTGGTAATTTGTAACACTTCTTGCATTTGATGTTGCATGCCTGCTGACTAAGCCTGGAACTGATGCAGAAAAAATTAGGAAAAGGTGACTCCTCATAGAAATCTGTCATTAAAGAATTGTGCTTTCTCTCATGTGGTGTGTAACCATGCGTGTGCATGTAACTCTTCCTGTAAGCATTTTAGTTTCTAAGTGATTTTTTATAATGTTTAGTGTCATTGGGCTCTGTATGTAGCAGGACAGCTATATGTTGACCTCTAAAACTTTTTCGCAGTACTTACCACATTTTTGACCCTGAGACAGTTTTTAAGTCTAGTATAACAGGTTTTTCTTGGAGTCCTTCGGTGAGTACTTGGACTTGTGGCTATTGAATTACAATTTTAAAACCCCTGCTGACTCTTGAGGAAGTTCAAAGTACTTTCTCCACTTACAGCTCTATGGTGTAAACCTCCTTGACTTTCCTATCCTTAGGTTAATACCTCTGTGGAGAATTTGTGCAGCTCTTCTGAACTGCCCTTTACCTTGAGAATTCCTCATACTTTGGCTACTGATTTTCAGGCCTTTCTGCTCCTACTGTATCTGTCTTTTAATTAACAGACTATTATGCTTGTTAAACTTCAGCTGCTTAGATCTACTTTTATTGTAAGACCTAACACACCAGAACTTGTTCTCTGCTGTTCTGCTTTTGGAACAGGGGCCTTTTATTTTTAATTCTCCTTTATCTTAATTATTTTTACAGAAAAAAGACTGTACTGCGTATTGTAACACAGTTGTCTGGAAGAGATAATTTAATGGTGCAGTTTCTCTAAACCTTCTAATTGGACTTCAGACCATTTTTTTTTCTCTTCACGTGTGCACTTTAACTTTATAACTGCTCCTTATATTGAAGTTTCTTGAAGTCAAATAGTAGTGGTGGTTTTTGTGCTTCTCTTCTGTCAACAGTCTCACTAGATCATGGTATGTTTTGCTACTAAAAGATGTTCAGTAGCTGAATCTTAACCCAGGCTTTTTTAGTCTACTTGAGGTGAAACCAATGTGTTCTTCCTGTGAGTTCTGAAAAATGTACTGCACACTTATTGACGAAAAGCTCCCTAGTCATTTCAGTGAGTTGATGCATGAAATTTTCTTAAAAATACTGCCTTCTAACAAGGTGTAAGCTGCTGTAACAAGGTGTAACAAGGCATGCAGCTTAAAAGGTGTGGAGGCAAGAAGTCAGGAGGTGAAGATAAGGCAGATGTAAAACACCTGGTAGAAAAGAGCTAAAACCTAGGAATCCTCAGTAACTCAAGTATTTGACCTCAGTATTACTGAGGTTATACTCCCAGAAGCTGTCTCCTTTTTTGACTTGTGTTCTCTTTTCAGTTGAACAGTAAATAACAGCTGTAGCAGTTTATCCTTTATAAGACTATTTCTGAAGCACATTTAAGGAGGTTACTGTTGATGCTAACTTAAATTGCTGCCATGGGAATTCTGTTATTATGTAGTAATTTCTCTAAGATAGTGTATAGCTAATGCAGAGGGCTTAAACTGAGTTTCTCTAAAATTGTTGTCATGCACTTGTTGACTCTAGTCTCCTAAGACTGCTTAACAGTAACTTAGCCTTTCTATTAAGGCAGTCCCGTTTGGCTTGGAAGCTCGGCTACGATGGCTGGTATTGCATAGAAAGGTTTGGGTTGGAAGGGACTTTTAAAGATCATCTAGTCCAACCCTCATGTACATGTCCAGTAGCCACATATTTGAGTAGAAGTGTAGTGGTATTTTAGGGTAGTTAGTGTCATGCTTAATGACCCTTCTTTTAATGGGGTCTGTTTCTCAAAATATTTATATTGTGTCCAAGTAAAACTCAGGGGTTTTTCCCTCCATTACATAGCTGCTCTAATCTTAAGTTCCCACAATAGGTAGACTTCAGAATGCAGCAAAGCTGTTTGTGTAGCAGACTGCCTGTACGAGGAGCTTCTGCATGGCCTAGGATAGCTCTGTCACTGAGACTGGCAGGCCTGCCGCCCTTCTGTACAGAGTTCCTACTCTGTGAAACAGGCTGGCCGCACAAACTTGTTCTGGAGTTAGCGCCGGCCTGTGCTGACTTTCAGACTGTGCCTGGAAGTCTTCTACAGAGAACAGTAGATTTCGGCAGTAGAATCAGGCAGGGCCATTCTAGCAGTATAAACGACTGAACTGCAATGCTGGGGAACTCTCTCTGGCACTGCGCTGTTGAGCAGGATAAGTGTTTCCATGTTGTGCATAGAGGTGGAAGGGACATGGCAAGCAAAAACCTGAGATGTTCCTTACTATAGCTGAATGTTTTGCTTGATTGTTGTAGTCCTTGCCGCCTTGTAACACTTGCTACATGCTCTCTTTGTGGCCAGATTTACACTGAAGCATCCTAGTTAGGAATACCTAACTTTCAAAAGAATGAACATGGCATGTGGAGAGGGAGGAAAACTGATAAGTAAGCAAAACATTGGGGTTTTGTGTTTTTTTTTCCAGTTGAACAAGCCCAAACCACCTGATATCAACTGTACAGATCAGATGGGGAACACACCGTTGCATTGTGCAGCATACCGTGCCCATAAGCACTGTGCATTGAAACTTCTAAAAAATGGAGCAGATCCTAAAATAAAGAACAAAAATGGTGAGTACCAAATGAAAGTACGTAAAGTGTTAAGAAGAGACAGAAATTTAGCAGCTTCTGTAAGCTATGTTACTTACTACTCAGCGTTCAGGGAAAATCTTACAGTGCTTTACAAGCTTTGTATCACTAATAAAGGAAGCCAAATACTGACTACATTGCAAGAGACTTAAGAACTGTAGCAAAATACTTACCAAGTGCGCTTTTGTTTTCCAAATGTACTCATTTCTAGAAAATTTACCTGCTGGCTGTCTTAACCATGAAATGTGCCTGGCTTTTGTTTTCTTGATGCTAAACACTGAATACAGGTAACAAAGTGGTCCAGACAATGTGACTCTTCAGAAGAAGGCTTCTAATGAAAGCAAATCCAGGAAAACTTTACACAGCTGTTACGCAAACTGTGTACTTGTCATCTGATTTAAAGATTCCTCTATCTTGATATTTGTCGATGATCTGAACTGGTTTTATATAGCTGAAGCGCTAAAAACAAACAAAAAAAAATAGGTAAGAGCAAAGGTCTGTTTGTGGCTAGTAGAACTCTGAAGGACAGTTCAGTGCACTAAAGTTCAGACCCTTTTGAGTCTTCTGCTCCTGAGGAGCTGATGTTCCCCAGTTCCAAGTAAGTGTAGATGCTTGTGGGACCAGACTTTAATGGGTAAACACTGTGTCAGATGATTTTTTAAGTTACATATGTCTAGGTTTATTTGCATCACATTCTCATGCCTTGTCTTGGTTACTAAACAGATCAGACACCCCTTGATCTAGCCCAAGGTGCAGAAATGAAACTGATACTGGGAGGCAAAACTGGAAAGGTAGGAACTTTCGTATCCATTTAAATTGCCAAGGCTGTCTAGTTGAAGCTATTCCTACATGAACATTAATTTCTGTGCAGGTTATCAACAAACCCCTGAGACGATACGAAGGTCTCCTTTGGAAGGTATTTTGTCTTTCCTTTTCTAAAATAGCTTGTAAGATCTCAAAGTATGCCAGTGTGTCATTTTTGGTACTTAAGTGAGAGTTGATGAATGAGGGGACTTTTCAATAATACATTTGTTAAATGACTTGACTTTAATCTAGCATATTGGATAAATCACAGATGGGCTGGCTGGGTGAAGCAGTTACGAGGTTCATGGCGCTCTGATCTTAACCTCAGTCCCTAAAATCTCTCTTCATTTATTGATAATTTTTGTGGCAAAGCTTCACTCTGCTAAGGTTTTGTTCCTTGCCTGTGTGGTGGGCAAAATGTTGCTTTTTTTTCTTTTCTGAATAGGTGTCTCCTGATAATCTATGACTAATACAATATCTTTAATAATATATGACTAATATTTTGCCACAAGCTCACCACCTTCTGGAAATTTTAAAACTTAGAGGGAACGTGCCAGTCAAATGGTTGTTTAAAGCTTGTTTTGCTCTGATACTCGAGTGAATCTTTTTTCCCATGTTAAAACCAAGTTTTCTCTGTCTTCTACATGGGTGCTTAGTTTTTAGGTTACTTAATGAAATCTTTGAAGTTTTCTTCAGTGTAAGTTTTCCTATGTATTCACTTGCAATTGTAATATAAGGAACTGTTTTTAAACCAGAGCTATGTACTAAAGCTTGTGAAAGGTGAAGCGTTGTAGTTAGATATCTCAATGTGTTTTGTTACTTGATTTTGTAAAGTAAAATTCTGTGGTGATCAACAGCCCCTGTAACAATAAAAAATGCAGCATTTTAACATTTCAGTTCTTACTGAACAGCAGGCTCAACAAAGCTTTTGTCTTTAGGTATTTCCAAAAAAGAGAATAGCACTGTAATTGTAAGTATTCTCAGGTTGCTGTGACCACCAAGATACGTAAAACCTAAAATGTTTTCCTAATGACTTCTAGTTCTATGTAATAGCCTTCAAGCTGTTAAACTTACTGGGAATAATAACTCTTCAGCTGTTAACCTTACCTGGCCTTTTTTGTTCTGTTTTTTTTAATTTTTTTTTTTTTTTTTTTTTTTAGAGCTCACGATTTTTTGGTTGGAAACTCTACTGGATCGTTCTAGAACACGGAGTTCTTTCCTGGTATCAGAGACAGTAAGTTCTGTGTTCAAATTTCTGAAAAGCGATGTAAATAATTCCCATCTTCACTTCATTAAATCTCTTTTTCTTTCAAAGGGCGGATGCAGTGAATAATGATCATCGTCAGGGATGCAAGCATCTAACACAAGCTGTCTGCACGGTAGGAATTGAAATGAGTTGTAACTGCTGCTGGTTTTTTTTTTTGTGTGGTGGTGTTCCATTCCTAAACAATGAAAACTTTAGCCGGGTTGGTAAGCATGCCTTTGTTATAAAAAAGGGGAAGAGTTTGTGTTATTGCAAGAAATGCTGGTTCTTGTCAAGCAAAATATTCTTATATGTAAAGTGGCCGTAAAGCTCATTCACTTTTTTCCAAAGTCTTGAAGATTTAAACAGCCATAAGGCTTCCTGAAGGCATGTCTCTTCCATTGTGCAAAACAGCTGTTTGAAGCATGTGATACAGAATAGCAGAACTCTGGTTCCTCCTGTAGCTGTCACTGACTACTTGTGATTGATTGCGTAGCTTAAGCTGATCTCAGTTGAAGAACTGAGCAATTCTGAAGGTGACTTTTGGAAAACTTCCTTAAATTCCATTATGCTTGTGGGAATCCCTTTTGGAAGGGGTGGATAGAGGAAAAACGGGTCAGGTGTCGTTTATAATACACCAGAAGATAAAGTGTTTAAGGAAAATGCATTTAAGATCGTTTCAATAGTGTTTTCTTCTGTAACTAACCTGTCCTAGTTTTATAGATCGGCACCACGTGTTCTGTTAAACTACAGTTATATATAATCTTACTACAGGAAAAGTGACTCTTGCTTTTCTGTATCTACAGATTCCTTAATATTGGTGATCTTGCACTGTTGCTGAGATTTTTGTCTGAATCAAGTGGTGCAAATATAATATTTTGACATAAAGAACCTTTGTATTCTCACTCATGATGTAAAGTGCAGGGCAGAACCCTTGAAAAAACTGTTTTGACCAAGCTTTTCATAAACTATAGTTGTTTTGTGTCAAAACTGAGGCAAAACCTTCTGAGTGAAGAGTAATTCTCTACCTTGCTTACTCTGAAGTTTTTTCTTTTTCTTTTCTTACTGATTCATTATACTAACTTTGTGTTTTCTCCACATTGCTTTAGGTAAAATCTACAGACAGTTGCTTCTTTTCTGTCAGATGTTTTGATGACACTGTTCATCGTTTCAAGATTCCTAAAAATAGCCTTCCTTCTCAAACTAGAGAGGTAATAATGACTCTATCAAAGGCTTTAAAATGTAGTAACTTCTGTAATGATTACTTTGCATACTACTTGCTATGGATGCATTAGTGGTGGGTTCAGTGTCTTGATCATCACGACTTGGTAACGTATGTGCAGATATTAAGTCTTTTAGTGTGACTATTGACTAAGTAGCAAAAACAGACAGATAGTCATTTTGTTCTTTAAAATTAGTGCCACCTTGTTTTCCAGCTCTCTGCCTGTATTATGTGCTGTGGTCTAACTTCCTCTCTTTCTTGAACTTCTCCATGTGGTAAAATTCTATTGCAACTTCCTTCTGTTGCACTTTCTTTCACAGTTCATTTCATAGGTCTGAACAAAAGAACGTTTAATGGTACATTCTACTCTTAGCCATTCTCCCAGATGACCTAATAAATTATATTTTCTTAAAAGGTGGGTCTGAAATGAGAGAGTAATATTTTTTAGGGCTATTTGTAGTGTAGTTGCTATTGCACTTCTATAGGAGTGCTAACTAGAGATGAAGTAGGGGTGGAGGCAGCTGGAGTGCTGTGTGCAGTTCTGGACTCCCCGCTACGAGAGAGATGTGAGCATACTGAAGGGAGCCCAACAAAGGGCTACTAAGATGATTAAAGGGGCCAGAGCATCTCTAATACTAGGAAAGGCTGAGAGTGCTGGGACTGCTCAGCCTGGAGAGGAGAAGGCCCAGGGGGGTCTTGTCAGTGGATGTAAATACTTAAAGGGTGGGTGTAAAGAGAGACAGAGCCTGGCTCTTTTCAGTTGTGCCTGGTGACGGGACAAAAGGCAATGGGCACAAACTGAGACACAGAAGCTTCCCTCTGAACATGAGAAAAAATGTGAGGATGACCGAGCACTGACACACGTTGCCCAGGGAGGTGGTGGAGTCTCTGTCCTTGGAGATACTCAAAAGCTGTCTGGATGTGGTCCTGGGCAACCAGCTCTAGGTGGTCCTGCTTGAGCAGGGGTGTTTGGGCCACGGGACCTCCAGAGCTCCCTGCCAACCTCAGCCACTCTGTGACCTGATGAACAGGAAAAGAATCTACCTCAATTATGATAGTGCTTGAGGTTTTGTACACAGAGTTTGTCATGCATAAGAAGACAGACTTTGTCACAGGGACCTTGCTGTCTGAACAGAAACTCAAAGATGCAAAATACATTCCGTACAGTCTTTTCTTAATCAATGTGACTCTTTTTATATGACCTTGGATAGACTGAGGGGTGGGTTACATTTGTGCTCAATCCATGAAGTCTGTGGCACTCTGACCAGAGTATCTCATCTTCCATACATGTTATAATTTTTAACAATATATTTTCTGGTTATTAAGGTGTCTCACTTTACTAATGAATATCTTACTCACATCAGTAGAAAATTTTAATTTGTTCTTTTGCATGTATGCTGTTGCCTTCTGGGGATGACTTTTGAAATGTGTATTAACGCTTGGGGTTTTTTTTATTGTTCAGAGTTGGCTGGAAGCAATAGAAGACCACTCTGCATATAGCACTCATTACTGCACACAGGAACAGTTGAGTAGTGATGATGAGGAAGATGATACGGTATCTGTTACAGACCTACAGGAGACTCTGAAAGTATGTACTGAATACTTAGTTAGCTCACGCATCTGGGCAGTTGCTGCTACTGTTTTGTGTTGAAATACGTTAGTGTACTTTCAGCTGAAGGTAAATGATCCTTTGTCCCATGGATGCATAAACGCTGCTTGTATTTGCACTGCTTACTGTTATGTATTCCTGTTTGCACTGTAGGCATAAAATGGCAAGTTTATCATAGCTGCAGGGCTGTGTTTCTCAGTTTTGCCAGCGCTACTGCAAGGTAGAAAGTTGATTGAGACTTTCAGCCAGAAGAGGGAGCCTTTTGTACTGTACTTGGTGGCACCAAGACAGGAGGATAACAAAGCTAACCTTCAGTGAGCTCTACCCCTATAAAACAGGCAATGAAACGGCTTAGAAATGACTCTTTAACACCTCAGATCACATTAGGTGAGTTGTACAGTGGTTGTTCAGACCTGCAATGGAAATGAGTCTTCCTTGGTAATTCTACCATTCAGCCTGTGATTCTTGATTTTTTTTCATATGTGTACTTCTAAAACCTTTTATTTTAAGGGAAAGTTGACACTGCAACACAAAAATCGTAATGTGACTGAACTCCAAGTGGCTTCTACCATACCTTGATGTACAAGAACTCAAAATAGCTCATGGCAGGTGTGGCAGGTGCACCTGCCCTGATAAAAACCAAAACTTCTCAACTGCTGAAAGGAAAAAGTGAGAAGCCACGGTTTGGGGGTCAAGCTGCCTAGCGGCGTGACAGCTGTGGTCATCTGCACACCTTGGTTGAGGGGTAGGAAAGGCAATGCCCTTCGGCCAACAGACAAGGCCCTCAGCCAATGAAACTCCTCAGTCAAGAGAAGTCTTAGACCGCTGACCCTATATGACCACAGATCAGATTCGACTAGGGTATAAATGGAGCCCTGTTGGAGGGCAGATTGAGCCAGTCCTCCTTGGAGCAGTGAGTCTGCAGCTGGGGACTCTCCCCTTGGATCAGGACGCTGCCCAAGAAGGTAATCCCTCGAGGCTGAGAGCCCTTGCCTTCTTGGGTGGGGGTTCTGCACATTTTGGGTCACCATCCTTAAGCTTCAGTCCACTGTGTAGTATTAGTTTTGTTTGACAGACATCCAAACCTGTAGTTCACTAATGTTTGTCAGTGCTAAACAATTTTGATAAGAATAAATCCCATTTGGAGTACCTGCCTCGTCTATTTTGAGAGACTCCGTGACAGCAGAACAGAAATGGGAGGACAACTGGTGCTGGCAGTTCCCAGCAGCCTACAGAAGAAGATGGTATTATCTAATAGATAACTGTCTCCCAAGTTCAAATGCAGGCTTGGAATATGATCTTGGGGTGGGTTCCTTCATGTTGCTGTACTTGCCTTATATCAGTTAATGTACACATTTACTTATTTTGGCCTTAGGTTTGTCAAAGGACAAGCAATGCCTCTTCCTGGATTCTCAGACTTTCTAATAAGAAAGCGGAGAAAATGCAAAAGCTGTATCTGTAACATAGCTTTGGGGTCTGGTTTGCTATGCTAATTTAAACAAAAGCTGGTCAGCAATATAATGTGCATAAATCTTCTGTTTGCTTGAGTATCTTTGAAGGTAGTTCAAGTATTTTCTTTCAGTTTTAATGTATCAATCTCTGTCACTGGGAATCTTTGTTAAGATTTAACGCTCTCCAAACGTAAAGATTTCAGTATAGTTAAGAGAACAAACATACACTTTGCTTAGAACAAGGCACTTCTGAACTGGCTATCCTTGCTGTCTTTCAGAAAGCACAAGCATGCCAACAAAGACTCGGTAAAGAGATTTCAGACTTTCTTGCAATGGTTAAATCTTTGGATGCTACAAAAGGTAAAACTACTCTTCTAAAATGCAGTTTGTTACCAGGCAACTGATCTTTTTTTCTTTTAAGCAGCACATGCTTTAATTTCACTGAAATTAAGTTTTCAGCAGCTCGAAAACGTAGGACTATTTTCCTCATTGAAAAAGATTCAAATAAAGTAACATAGCAATTGCTAAGAACTAAGATTTCAGATTTGGAGAAACAACTAAGTACATTGATGGAAAGTAATTTTATTGGTGGCTGTAAATGTAGTGAAATTGCCTTTAGATACAGTGCTTACTGAGTAGTATCATAAGAATATAATGTAGGGGTTCACTTTCAAGGTTTTTAAAAAAAAAAAAAAATCTGTAATTGGTAGCTTATTGCAGAGCAAAAGTGTCCCCTGGCAGGTACAAAGAGCGAGCTGTCTTACTCTAGCTTTCCTCTCAAAAAACTTGTCTAGTGAGTAGAGACACAATGAAAGCTGAGGAATGATAAACAGGATTTGAAGTGAAATCACAAAACTATACAGGGAACTGGAGGCATGATGTGATAGGCTACATTCCACAGAGTTCTGCAGTCAGTTTTATGCCAGATTTGAACTTACCAGGCTTCATTTTAAATAATAACTCTTAAATTAACATGTACCTGCATTTTTGCAGCATAACTGCTGAAAAATAGCACAGGCATCAAGCTGTTAGATTAGAACCTGTTTAATTTAATGCCTTAAACATGTACAGAAGTTGCTCATGTATTAAACATGTAGAAGTTCTGTAAGAACATCTGTTGCTTCTTGGAACCCAAGTCCTGGTTACATATTGTCACTAAAATTTATGAAGCTGAAACTAGAGAACAAGTTGTTTATCTGTACAAATCCATAGTCTGTAATAGAATAGCACTTTTGGGAGGAAAAAAGTTCTTCCATCTCTGTGTCTTCCCAAAAGGAGTCTAAAATACAGCTTTTTCTCCATATGCTACTGGGATAAGTTACTGTGTGATGTTAACCTGTGTTGCACTAACTGAATCTTTACTGGATTTTTATTTCACAAAGAAAAGTAAAGCTTCATAATAGATACGAGTGTTTATTGGGAAGCCTTTGTAGTTGATAATACAGTAAAACTGAAGTCTTCACAAAAAGCAGCTTGAAAATTAATATGAGGTGGATAAATTGCTTTTGGTAGATGTAGGGGCAGTTTCTCTGACCCCATATTACTGACCTGAAGAAGCAGTGAGGACATTCACTTTAAAAAAAAAAAAAAAAAAATTTAGAAATACACAACTTGAATAACCAAAACCCATAGTAAAGCAAAACCAGATACTATCTCTTTCCTAGAAACTCTAAGTCTTGGCCAATAGCAGTAATAAGTTCCTATTTTCCTCCTGATCAATGTTTGTAACTTGATGGGTCAGTGAACTGTTTCCAGGTTTGTGTAACCTCTGTAGGTCTCAACAGAGAAAACTGCTGCAGCTCTCCCGGTTCTGACATTGAGTTGATGTGGTATCTTTAAAGTATTTGAGTCCTCTGGCTCCAGAATAATGCAACTTTCTGAGTTAGAAGTCCTTCCATGTGCAACTTCTCCTAAAAGCTTTTGTGTAATATAAAAATAACTATCTTGGGACCCGAAATCTAAAATTCTCTCCCTAACTGTCTCAACATGCTATTCTAAATGGAGGTATCTTTGAGATGTATGTATATTATTTCTTGCAAATAAAGATGGCTCCTGCACTCAGTGGGCTGCCCCTCCTTCTAGAGGCGCTAGCTGTTCTTGATAGCTGCTGAAAGTGGAGAGTCCTAATTCCAGTCAGTAGTGAGTTTTGGTGTCAAAGACAACAGTTAGAGTGTATACAAGCAGTATAAGTTGCAAAATAAATTCGAGAACTATCACTGCTCGACCTCTTAATCTTCATCAGTGTGACATCAACTAGAAGCACCTGTGTTATTAAATGGTGTAAATTGATCCTGGAGTCTGCTGCCATTAAATGGACACTTACTTTAATTGCAATAAATGTGTGTCCTGCGAAAATGGCTTGCTTGACTTCTGAGGAATTGCAGCACATCACAGAACTTCAAAGATGAACTCAAACATTAAATAATTTCTACCAGCTGATTGGATTATCATGGTTTCCTGCTGGTTCTGTATCCATCTGTAAATGGTCATAGAAGTCAGGATGTGAAGTAGCATTGCTCTGCAAGCTGTATCGCTTATCCGGAAGATGAGTCCGTGAAGCTCTCCTTCCCCTTTTATTGATCAATGTCATTGTAATTCCCCATCTGTTTTGCAAATCTAAATCTCCAGCTGCACTGTGGTAAGCTTTTTCTCTTCTATATAATACCACAACAGAGGGGAAAAAAGCTACGTTTCTTACTTTAGCTAACACTAAACCAGTGCTGTGTCCTTTTTACTGGAATTCTGACAACTGGCAACTCTGAGGCTTTTAAATCTAGAAAGTGGTTGAAGTGAGATTGTTGCTAGTAACTTTTCCAGTGTCTTGCTGCCAGAGCTTACTGCCTCTGCTTTCTAAGCCATGCTGAAAGAGAAGCTTGATCCATTTGTGTGCCATTTACACCAGCACTAGGGAAAGGATGCAAAAGAAAGAACTTAGGTTCCCTCGGTGCTAATTTTGCTTGCCCTTTCCTCACACAGATCTTGCAGTGCACCAGCCTTCCTGTAGGATATGAATGATATGTCTCTATTACTTAGAGGAAAAAATAGTAAAAATAATCCTGTAGTTTACAATGTCCCCGTAATGTTACTACTCTTTTTATTTTTTCTTTTTTTTTTTTTTTCCTTAGGTATATCTTCTCCCCTCCTGCAAAAAGTTGACATGGTCTCTGAAGTATCACAGGAAACCTGTGAGGCCCTGGCTGACTGCCTCAACCTCTTCACAAAGCAAGAAGGGGTATGTATTGTGCTGTGTGGGTCTATAAAGGGTCTAAACAGCTTAGTGTATTTTGCTGGTTCCCTGCTTACCTGTTACAAAAATAAATAGACACACCCACAGAATTCATATTATTGGTAAGCTGTCCTCTTGCACGCGGCGTATCTGGTGAAAACTCATGCTTCTAGAGCAAGAGTGGCTAAATTCCTCTACAGAAGTGTATCTTAGCATTTTAAGTGTTCAGAAGAGACCCAGATTTTGCTTACAAACTTGTAATGTTCAAATTGAACATTACAAATTTGCTTGTAATGTTCAAACTGAATTCTTGAATTCAATAAAGCAGTTGCTTTGCTGATTTGAAGGTTAAAATATTGAGAAAATTAATCTTTTTTTGGCACTGGCTAACTGAAGTGTTCAACAGTATTGCTCTGAATTTGTTTTTCAGACCATGTGCTTAGTGGGTGTGCGAGTGCTGTCTACTGAACTTCTGGCTTTCCCAGTGACAGATATCTTCTATGGTGTTAAACATAATGCAAATGCTTCAATTTGGGGATATATGTCAAACTCATTAATTCTTGGGGTAGGAGATCTGGTATTTTTTCTTCCTCTAGAAGGTACCCCAGTACCATGGAATAGATTTGTTTTCCTGTCTTGTGGTGACAGTAATCCCAGTTAGGCTCTTGTTGTCATCAGTAAGCTGTGTTTCAAAACTAGGTTTGTGTTGGTGCTATTAATCCTTCCAGTCATTTAATGGTGAGCTGCAAACACTGGCTCCATTGTCTGGGTTTGATATAAGATTATTTTTTTTTTTTCATTCCTTTCCAAGCCTTTTTGTCTCCAGTCACAATTCTTTTAGACTTACTTGAGTCAAGCTGTAGCTGAGTAGAACAAGCATTGCTTTCTTACATTGAGTTTTTTCTTTAAGAAAATCTAATATTGAAGTTGCCAGTTCCATTTGTGGATGAGGGGGAAATTGTTACACCAGTGGGTGTATAGCGTTAGTTAGTATTCCTTAATTGTGTTGGCATCTTGCTTGAAGCCAGACTAAAATAGCTTTCCAGAGTGGAGTGTGGCAAAACATATGGTGAAATTGTAGTTTCACCCTACTTAAACTTGAACGGTCTCGGTAGGTGTTACAGAGGCCTTATTTTGATTTGGGCACAGAGGGATAGGCTGAGGTGTGAACTTGAATTTCCACCATAGCTAGTGAAATCAGTCAATCCTGACAGGGAGAAGATATGATCCTGGAGAGTTCTGTGTCTTGGTATTTTTAAACTTCAAGCTATTGCAATTCCATGTTATAATGCAAGCTTTTAAAGATGCCATAAGCTGCTAAGGGCAGTTACAGCAGCAGTCTCTTCCTAAGACTTGAACCTTTCCAAAACGTTATGAAAGTTACATTCCTTGAGCGTTACTGTTCTTAAACCCACAGCATTTGGGTTTGTATTCTGAGACAGGGCCCCATCCTTTGCATTTCAGTGTTGATTTCTAGGCGGTCGTTCTGTTGGCGCTGCAGAAGCAATATATTGGGTTCTGCATCAGCGATAGGACCCCGATAAAATGCTTTAATATTCCTTCTAAGCGTATTGAATAGTAAGGCATATAACTCTAAAATAAAAACACTTCTCTAAAATACTCTAAAAAAAAATCTTTTTTTTTTTTTTAGTGTTTCTCTTCTGATCATGATCTCAATAATGAAGTTAAGGCTTAGGTGTTGTAAATGTTTGGGAACCACTGCCATGAATGCTCTGCTCTGGCAGTAATTGGCTGCTGTTAACTTAAAACTGCCAAACTACCTTCAGGAAGGATAGCTCTGCAAAAACAGTTGTTTAACAGCTGCTTTCCTGCATGTCCTGTTGTCTCCAGGCCTCCTTTGTTAACTGGACTGTTTGACTGCAGGTTGTCTTACGGGGGACTCCCTGACAGGACTTTCTCCGAATAGAGAGGAATCAATTGCTCTGTAAGACCTTTCAACCGTGTTGTGTATGCCCTGTGAAATCTGGTTCTGTGAGAGCTTCGTGCCTTTTTAACTTGCCCCTTTAAAGAGAATTCTTTTCCCTCTAGCTTAAATTGTCAGCATACCAGAAGCCACTGCTTGACTAATGAGGAGAGGTTGCTCACTTCAGTAAGGATAACCACCGTGAACACAGTTTGCCTTTTAGAGAAGACTCTTTGGTTAGTGTTGCCCATCTCTGCGCTGTGTAAACTGTAGCGCAATTGCTGCGGGATGCAAATGAAACTGCTAATACTGGACTAAAAACATGCGAAGGTTCAACTCTTCCACTCGCGCTAGAAACGGTGCAGGAGCGCGATCCCCAAACGCCCCGAGCCTCGGTCCGCCGCT